TTCTTGACGAGCTATCCGCTAGTTTCGATATCAAAACATTGTAGATCACAGGATAATACACAGTAAAACAGACATATATATAGGGAAACACTGACTTCTTCATCTCCCACTTGAACATGGGTTCCAGAAAAATTGCCCAACTACTCGGGTGGGTCTTAATTAGGGAACTCTTCTTCTGAAAAATTTTGTTACATAAAACGAACAAATTCGATAATCCCAGCCATCTTTCAGGCAGAAGCACAATTTCCAAAAGTTTGTTTGTCTTGAACATCAAATAAAAGAAATCCTACCGCGACATATTAACGAGTTATGTTACAAACCTAATAATCCCGGTTATCTTACAAAGCACCCAGTTTATACCCTTTTTTTATAAAGAAATAAACGTTCTTGATATCTGCGATTACCTAAAAGACAAGGTCTTATCTAAATACTAGGTTGTACAACATATAAACCATAATTTTGTTCTTTCTTTTGACCGCCAAAACTTCTACTGTCCAAATAAATGAGACTCGGGTTCTTCATATAGAGATAAGTTACTCTACAGAACATAATTACCAAAAATAAAACTTCATAACAAAACTTCATATAAAGAGGCTTTAAAATGTTGAAATTGGCATACTTGACAGAAAATGAAAACTAGTGAAACAATAATGACGTGATTAAATTTATCATTTGTCCTGTTACAATGTCCAACTACACCTTATATCCTAAAGAATAAAAACTTTATCTGAGTGTCCATTTCATTGAAACCCTCAGTATTTATTAAGTTGGAACTATTTTCTCTTCGATAACAGTGTGGATCCAGCTTGTACAGAGTGGCAAATTCCAGTTCATTACAAAGATGCTCAATTGTGAAATCACAAATATGATTTTCAAACCACTTTCGTAAAATGTAAGCATGGTGGATTGCTTCATAATTTTCTTGAAAAAGCCCTTATCCATCAGGATAGAAAAGTACAATAGTTAACGTTAAGATACATTTTGGATTTAATTTTCCTGTAAAACAAGTCCAGAAGGATTCAATCCACTGCACCAGTAAACTGCCTCGTCTTTTCCCTCGGTTAACGACCAGTGTACTCTAATGGCATATTTGTTCCTTCTCGGTGGTCACGTTTGATACTCTGAATGCCAGGTGCCTTTGAACAAAGGTACAGTTTTTGTTATTAAAGACATTATTGTTAGCTGACACTCTTTATTATATACCTCTGAAAGTTGTAGATATAATTCTTCTTGTTTGTTGTTTTACAGATTAACCAGGATATGGCATAATCATGTCGTAATCAAAATCATTGTTTCACAAAAGTCTGTGTACTTGTCCAGTTACAACTAGCGAACCGCTCGACCAATTGTCACCAAACCTGACAAGTACCCTTGGATCTCCCACGGAGTGACATACGGTGTAGGTGCTCGGATCTGACCCTCAAACATGGAACACAGTCTTCAAACCCACTGTTGAATGACATGTGGGAGAAGGAGCGTTAAGAACTGAAACCCCATGTCACTCTCCAGGACCCCTATGTTTTCATTGTGCAGTGAACGGGAACAAAAGCTAGAACAATTATATATTACAATGCTTGAATTGTTCTCAGAAATTTTTGGTTCTTTTCAAGGATATTTTGACTGATGGTGAAGTACACTTCATCAAAAAGAAAAATATGGGCAATATATTATGCTATCACGGGGTGGTAGGAGTGCAAACGAACCCCGTTTTGGGCCAAATAAACAATAATTCTACAATCTGCCTTATCTACTTGCAGGTTAACGGCAAAACCAATATCCTTAGCACAACCAGAATGTATTCAAACGTGCTGAATGGCAAAAGGTCCTGTTTCTCAGTACAATGTAAATAGGCAAGAACCATACTGTTCTACACCATATTGACCAAATAAACGCCATACATTAGAATAGCGTTTTGGCCAGAATAAGTCATTCACATCTTTAATCTTGCTAGAGGAATTAAATATGTTAGAGAAAACTGTGGCTGTTTGTTCATACCTAAATACTCTTAACCAGTTTGATACTGTGCTGAAAATCGAAAGATACAAATCACTGTATGTCTTCCTTGTGTTGTATAATACAAAATAGTTATTAAAAGTGAACTTTTTTAGAATTGTGAAATACATATAAACCTTAATTATGTAATGAGTAAATAGCACCTGGTGTATTTTTTTAACACAGGGTCTCTCCCTCAATCAGAGGAAAAGTAGTGTTTTGAGTGGCTAGGCAAAGAAGTAAAAATTTCTTGGAAGTGTTCCATACATCGTTGGAAAGTCCGGAATCTGTTGTATCCAAATATGCAATCCACATTTGCCCCAACAAGGGATGTCAATAAGTTCCTCGTGATCACATCCACAGTGGCTACACAGGTTGCAAATCAAACATCTTGGAACCTTGCACATGCAGGTAATCAAAGAAATAAAGGTGATTGATAATAATATGCCAAAAAGTAGCAAAGTTTCAGTAATGGTCAGCGTTGTCTTGGAGCTATCTGCTGAAGATCAATTATCAGATGCAATGATGGGTGAAGAAGAAGAAGGCTCATATAGCAGGCCCACTGGTTACACAACAAAAAATACTGGTATTAATTATGGGGTTTCTGATGATTATGTGGCCAGCCATAACTCGGTCAATTCTTGTCCAGTTTTGAAACTGTAAATTGTAATCGTCATATCTCATTGCATGCTACATCTAAATAAATTACATGAAAATCGGGTAAATCCCATAATTGCTACATCTGATCCCTGCCACTAAGGCAATTCTGGTTTTAAAAAATCCTGTTAAAGCTTGCCTTAATATTTCTTTTAACATCTACAGATATAGAAATTTGGGATGTGTCTTCTAAACTTTCATTTTCTAGTAATGTTCTTTTAATTTTACTTGTTATCCATCTATTTCTAACATTTACTTATAGATACTGTTCAATTTGTTCCAATTCCAATTATTTCTTTAGCAGTTTTGTTTACTTAATCTTTATCATTTTAAAAGCTCAATTTTCCACAGCTCTACCTAAGTTTTGTTGACTTATTTTTTCCTATTCTCTCATTCTCTTACATCATAGACACATTTTATTAGAAACACATTCACACACTTACCTGTATTGCCATACTGACCTACCATAATAGCTCATGACGTCACATGAAATCAAACTCAAAATCATTTCAAGCAATTGCTCTTTTTCAGGTTCAGTATGTTTTTGTAACCATAAGGGCATACTTTGAGTTACTGTATTTAAACACAAGTTCTTCATAAAAAACAAAACAAAAACTTGTATTCAACTCTACTTTGATTGGCTTATTTTCTATTTTGAGTATTGTTTTAAATAATGACATATCAAAAAATAGTTATACAAGTGCTCCTTGTAGTTAGTCTAATACATCATTACATGCCACTGTGCCATTCAAGATCAACAAATATTTAATCCTGTAATGAAATATTTGATCAATTTATTTAAAAAGAAATATAAGCATAATGTGTCATTTTTTGCATATTTTCAGCAATTTCATATTTGTAAACTAACAAATCATATAGTGGCTAGCATCCTTCTGTTTCCAGTACAAGGTTAGCTAGCTAGCTTACAAATCTGTTTCAGACTATTATTACCATTTCAAGGTCATGATCAATACTACCACCTTGTGGTAACCAAAAGATAAGTGTGCAGTTGTTTCAGACTGCTTCATAAATGTAAGATTTAGGTCACAAGATAGTGGTCTATGTTTTTATACAATTATCAATACTTTTTGTGTAAAATTCATTTGTAATTGTTATCCATTTCCAAATAATATTACATTACTTTACAATACAAACATTTAAAAAATATCTGCAACCAAGCTTAAAAGATTAGACATACTTTTACTGTCAATACACTCAACTGCTTTCGAAATTTGTACTTAAAACTGTCGCAGTTAATTTATTCATTCTTAATTACAATAGTAATTACAAAACTATGTTTTTGTTTCATTGGCTGCAACCTAAAACCCTGTTCTCTTTATAACTTATACTTTCAAAAGGAGTAATTCTATTGATTAATTTTCACTTTCAGACCAGTAATTATCAAACTTTACATAATTGTTCCTCATCATCCACTCAACTTACTATAGTACAATTTTCACTAGTTATAGGCATTAAATATATCTTAAAATGTAACAAAACTACCACCAGTGACAATTTTACTATAGTGACTCAAATGGATGATAAGTAACAACTAAGAATTCAAAAGATTTTTATAATAATTAAACTGAAGCCTAGAGTAAATTAATGGGATTCAGCAGCACAAGCTAAAATCCACCCACATACATAAAAAATCTTGATATTTCTTTGAAAAGGTACCATAGCTTATTTACAAAATTTAATGATTTTATCCTCTGTTTTAAAATTTTGGTATTTTTTTTTGGTGCATGGTTGAATAAATGTGAAACTTTCACTGCCTTTATTTATATTTTAGTATAGTTGCTGTCCCTGGTGTCAAATATCTTTACTGATGCAAGTGTTAAGTCTGCTCAAACAAAATACATGAACTTAAACCAATACCTATGACACACCATTGGCCATTATGAAAGGATCCTTAATGTTGATAGTTGGATCTTCTCCAAATTCTGTCATAGTTACTACTCACATTGTTTACTTCAAGCTACCAGCTTTAGTGTAACCTGTAACTATTTCTTGTATTTACTGATTGTTATGTCTCAAAATGTTACAAATAAATATGACACACCATTGGTCATTATAAAAGGATCCTTAATGTTGATAGTTGGATCTTCTCCAAATTCTGTCATAGTTACTACTCACATTGTTTGCTTCAAGCAACCAGCTTTAGTGTAACCTGTAACTATTTCTTGTATTTACTGATTGTTATGTCTCAAAATGTTACAAATAAATATAACTACAAGTATATCACTTTCAGCTTCTCACTGAAGGATTTAATATCATTATTTCATTTGTTACCTTTTTTTCTTAAAATCAATACAGTAAAAATTTTTGTTAAAGTTCAAACAAGTCAACAATAAGCCTCAATAAGCTTACTTTATTCTGCAGCAAGCAAAGAAGTTCAAACTTCTAAAAATGTTACAAAAAACAACAAATTTCCATTTAACAGAATTCCATATGATCAATACTTGGATTTTTAGTATATCCAATACTTAACACATCACAGTTATTTGTAAAGGTTTCAGCTTTCTTCTTGCTGTAAAAATAAAGTTTTCACAAGTATTGATAAAAATAATTACAAGTAATAATACCTTTACTTCCATCATGATATCCTTTCATTTCTTAAATTTTAAGTCATCATTAGATCTACACTTTATGAATAAGTCAAAATGTTTTAATTATTTCTGAAAATATATTAATAAATATAGGAGAGAGTGAGAGTCTTTTCTTAAATGTAGAGCATGTAAATTCATTAAATTACTCACCCCAAAAACTTGGGTAATCCAGTTGTTAAATCTCACATACAAGACATTATCTACAATATGTGACCATCAGAGAAAGCCAGTATTACCACTTTTACTCTAACCTGTAAGCTCTATTCTGTATATAATTTGAATTTTTAATGAGGTTCGACCTAATAACCACTTTCTGACCTACTTAAGTAATGTTATGCAATTATAATTATTTAAAAAAAATTATTTTCCTAAAGAAGCATTGGATTTCTCTTGGTGGTGGTGGGGGAGGGGGGGGTATGCAAGATACTCAACATATGTAGGGTACATAACTAAATGCCAGCCTTCAACAAAAAACCATATCTATTGATAAAGCATACTAACAAAAGTTGTGAGAAAAACAACTAGAAAGTTCCATAGAATATTTTTAAGCAAGGTTTGGTTTATATAAAATACTACATTATTTTTACTTAACATCAGCTTTTTAAATAGACTTTAGTAGAAGCTTTACAGTGTGTAAATAGACAAAACTTGTCTTTAATACCTATACTTTCCTCATTATAACCAACTGTCTTAAGACACTTTGTACCGAAAGTACAACCAATTTGCATTCAGAAAAAAACAAAAAAAACTCTGGGTATAAGAAGTGCAACTTTTCTTGCTTGGCAATGTTTTTCTTAAGGATTACTGGTTTTTGGGAAATAAAAATCCCAAAAATCAGTCAATGAAACGAGTAACATTTCCTAAAACAGACTTATATTTGCCCAAAATTTTAAATTTTGGTGATAAGGGAAAAACGGGTACAGGACACACACAGTTTGGGAATGAAAAATTTCGGAAACCTGATAACCAGTAGACCCATTCAGGAAACTAAGTGTACTAACATGTAGTTACAAAATGAAACCACCCATGAAAGAGAAAGTGAAAAAAAGAACAAAGACTACCTGGAAGTAGTAAAGTACCACAACAGCAGTGTTCAACCTGTCTGTAAAGCTGAGTTGATTTTTTTTTTCACTTTTTCATTTTAATCTGAGTGTAAAGTCCTCAGCTCATAAATATATGAGAAGTTGAGCACATAGCTATACATTATCCTCAAACATATGCTATAAGAATGTTTACACTAACCGTATGGATTCCATACTCTTAAAGTCATTATATTATGCAGCGATACAGGAAAAAATGAACAAAAATTACTTCCTATGTTCAAATGACTTGTGTTTAGTCACAAACTCCAGCTCTGTTCTTTTGTTGTTGATGTTAATGAAATATCATCAGAAATGCTGCAAGATTTTACCTGGAATATATGTACACTGTACAAATCTCAAATTTCTGTTACATTCCTAAATTTGTGGCGATCTCCACATATGAAGGTTAAACATAATTTTAATATGTTATGCAAAGAAAAACAATGGATATATCCATCTTCATAAAAAGTTCTGAAGAATTCAAATTTTCATGAATGGAATTATAGAACCAAGATTAAAAGTAATCTAATCTTCAATTCATTGTAACATTAATTATTAATTTGCTGCTTTTCTTTACATAACTTCTTGCTGTTATTCTTTTAGTGCAAAGTTAACTAAAGGTTTAAATGCATTCTGTCCACCGTGAGGGATCTAACCCAATATTTTAGCATTGCAAGTCAAGTCTGTAAATTTAGTGCTAACCCATCAGGAGGAGTTACATACATAAAACTTCATAAAAGGCTTGGGAGAAAAAAAAAGAAATCCTTGTTATTTTTTCAGTAGCATTGCAAGAATAAAGGAAAAAACTTTATCCACCCTACAGACTCAAAACTGGTAAATCACACTCAAAGACATTAACATAATAGCCACGATGAGATGAAATAAGTTTAAAATCGCAGCTTATTATCTAAATTTCTATTTGAGAACCTACAGTAATATAAGGTTTAAAAATGTTAAAACTACCTCAAATACTTTTCTATCCATTTTTATACTTGAAGAAATAATTATTAAGTAGTTAAATGGTGGGAAAATAATTTCTGTTTTTTGATAAACTAGATCTCATTAAAATGCTCACAGAAAGCAAGATACACATTGTACAGTAAATTATTTTTCTCCTTCAAACATAGATTCACACAAAATAATACCTTAGAACTAAACAAAATATAATTTAATAGTTAATACAGTATGTTATTTTCACAGTGAATTCTGTAAAACATATATACTTGTACCCATATCTTTATATTTATGATTTATTAAATTAATCCATTTAAAACAACCCTTTTCTTTTTAAAATTAACACAAATAATTTTTCTTTCATATACCTTAAGATGTAATGTTATATCTTAACACTCTTCTACAAAATTAAAATAAAAACTTATACATTAATAGTACATTCTCAGCCAAGGATTTGCAAGATTTTGGGATAAACAAAGGAATATTATTTTATCTGCATTCATAATAAATATTATAAATATCATTTGATTTTTGTAATTAGACTAGATCATAAATTATTAGTTATAACTAAGAGTTCCAATTACACATCAAGAAACTTTCATCAACAAATACACAGTTCCTTCTGAAACTTAAAGAGCCTAACAAATATAGTAATGATTATATTTCAGTCAAATTATTATTTAGTAGTAAATGATCCTAATAAAAGCTTTATTTAATATCTTTGTTAAAGTACATGTATACCTTCTTACATTCACAACTTTAGTGAAATACAATATATTTAGAGAAGTAAATATTATTTTGAACTTTCTCAAATATACGCACAAACTATCAAAATTGTCTTTTCTTTTTTTGAAAACTTTCACATTCAAATATTTAATGTTCTTACAATGATGAAGAAATATATCTTTCTAATTTCATATATGAAGTACTCTTTTGTACAAATTAATGGCAATAATACATTGGTCATGCTCTTGTATAAATCATTTTATTATTACTCTCATTAGTGTTTCCTTATTTTAGTTTTCAAATTTTACTTCAAATGTGTTTACTTGTCTGATAAGTGCTTTCTCCCTCCTAAAAAATAGATTTTTAATGATGATATTGAAATTTAATCAGAATTTCAGATTTTCATAAGGATGATGTTAGTTATAAATATTTTCTACAAAACAATTGCTATATATGCACTTAATCATTGTAAGCTAATAAAACAATTCAATCTCATCCTTAACATCCATTGTTAAATATAACCAGAAAATTAGTCAATCCAATTGGGTTTCCATATTCATTAGCTTGCATATATTATGCTGGTTAGCTTTGATAAATAAGACATCATAATTCCTTAAGTACTAAAAATAGATGGATATTTCAGAACATGTTGTACTCACTTATTTTAAAGGAAGGTACTTTAAGTAATTAAAAGAAATGTTGTTTTATTTTAAACATAAAGTCTAAAATTGGGCACTAATCACAAAGTAACATTTCTCCAGTTAAACACAGATTACCATGCACCAGTTAACATTGTAATTTCCTAGCTTTTTTCCAATTTATTGCTGCATTTGTTAACCAATATATCTATAAATTATTTTTTTTCAACATGCATCCTATTAAAATTATCTTAAAAATTAAAGTAAAAGACTAACAGTAAATGAATGACTCAAGAACTTTTTAGTGCTCCCCTATTCTACAGTACATGACACTTATCCATATGATGATCAGAGACCTCAGATAAAAGTGTCCAACAACAAGGGAACATCTCAAGAAATGTCTCCATAAGCCTCGAAAGAATGAATTTTCCTCAGCTTTATACATTTTTGAGTTTAGCCTTAAAGCATTATGACAATACTCTACACCTTGAAAACAGTGGACTTCTGTATATGCCATCATGTGAGTCTTGTATATGTTATTCTAAGAACTTATGGTTGAAAGCAAGAAGAATATTCCATAATATGTCAATACACTAACACCAACATGAACTATAATGGAAACACTTGAAAAGCATGGATAATTATTCAAAAAAATATCTATATTAATGTATGTATACTCATTAAGGGTAACCTACATCACTAATGAAATACTCTTCCATGATGCATATACTGTAGAGGAAATAGGCCAGTTTCATATGTGTAGCATATTCCTTTTTTTTTTTTTTACATGCTACATATATGGAAAAGTTAACAATAACAATGGATTTGTGCAAAAACAATTATAATTCATGTGGTCTTGTAAATTGTTTTCTAAAGCTATATAAAATCACCATAAAATACTGTAAATGACTTATTTTCTTCACCAGATTAACATGTAGAATAAAATATATAAAAAACTACTTCAATCCACTGTTTCATCAGAATAAATTCACAAGAATTTCTTTTAAATTCCATGTCATTCAAGACTACGTGTACCTTATATACGATAAGACAATGTTGAATTCTCTCAACTTGTTGATCAGCAAGTCTTTTCAAAAGAAATCATAAAGTTAAGTCATCTGTGCTTAGTAATCTGTATTTCAAGCAGTAAATATCTGTATATAACAACAACAAAACCAAAGTTAATATTTTCCTTACCTGAAAATGTATTCCAGATAGATACTCACCTCTCTGCACCACAAAGTGCTGTTACCTCATGTGCACTATGATGTAAATTCCTATGCATTACAAGCCTTGAAAAAAGCTACCACTCCTACAATTGTCACCATTTATCAATGCCAGCCTATGATATAATCATCTTTAGACTATATGAGGGGGACATACCCTCTATGCATAGAATCCCCTTGAGCATTAGCATGTAAACACTACTCATCATTGATGAAACAAACAAAATGCATTGGAAGTGGTGAGAAAAGGTGGGAGGTATTGTAAAAAAGTGAGTACCTATTTGAAATAAATTTTCAGGTAATGAAAATGTTAAGTGCACCACAAAGAGATAGATTCTCACACTGATGGTGAAGGGATTGGTACAAAGAAATTATAAAAATTAGCTCTTTTCTGAAAACAGCATCAGAAAGGGAAAGCCCATGGAATGTGACATCCACATGGTGGGGGATAACACTCAGTGGAAGACCAAAAAACATGGTCATAAGAAACTCTTGCTGGGTGCTAAGGTGTTGCTAAGATAGGTAGATTGCTCAAATGTCCATTATATTGCAGACAGACAGCTAAATATGAGTATGTAGTGTGGTTAGATATGCAAGTAAGGTCATTCAATACTGAAGAAATACGTGAGATACTCATCACAAAACTCAGGTGCAGGAAATAGCACCCCAGACTTGTGCCCTGAGGCAAACCTAACATCCATCCAGCTGGACCTAACCACTGGGAATGACCTGGTTCTTCATGTAGAGGGGGTGTCCTGTACTACATTATCAGGTAACATCCCAGCCCTACTTCCCAAATGAGGGCTGTGTTCATTCAGTCTTGTACCAGTGAGATTGCACCACTCAATGAGAAACTCTTCATATCAGCTTCCCCAAAAGCATGAGACTGGGGAAGCATAAGTTTTTCTGTATCTAACTAGAAGAAATGGGGTAGGAACTTGCATAGGAGGAGAATACCAGAGAGATATTTGAACTGTTGTCATCAGGTACAATCACCTGAGAGACAGTACACTGGATTATCACAGAAATGGATCAGGCATCCAGCACTATGCCCCCACCAAAAGAGAAGAATTGGAAAAGTGTGGTCATATAATTTGTTGTCATCAACTGTAAAGCCAACACAAAGTGCCACCTATTAACACTTACCATGAATATATAGGCAGAAAGAGCCTACAGACTGACTTTTGAGCCTTGGAGGGCTCCCAACAGATGAAAGTCTGGAAAGGTGGGAAAAGAAGGATGTCAAGGGTCATGAGGTCTAATGAGCTACCACAACCTAGGAGGTGAAAAAAAAGACAGTGTCTCTCTGGAGATATCTGCATTGACAGGGCGGAAACCACTGATGGCAACAGGTTTGGACAAATCCGAGAGGAATGAAAAGACTTAAAAAAAGCCCCCTAAAAAATATATGCATGAAATGAAGGAGACATGAGAGTCCTGGTATCAAAAGCTCCATGTCACAAAGACAAAGAAGTAGAATGAGCCTGCCCCACATACAAAATGAAAGAGACCATCAATTGAATGAAATACACAGTGAGTCAAGACTGAAATGGAAAGCCAAACCAGCAGCTCCAAACAAAAAAACATGTTAAGAAAAAGGGAGGTCATAACAGAGAAAGTGAAATTGTAAGAGGCAGGTAGAGGCTAAATATCAATAGAGTAGTCGAACAACAGGCCTCAAGAATGTAAGAACCCACTGGACCCAATAATAAAAATGGTACCATAGTCAACTTAAAGGGGAGGATTGAGAACCAAATGTTCAATCACTATAGACAAATCTAAGGAAGCAAAAGGTTGACAGACAAATCGGGATGTGTAGAAAGTGTCCGAGATCCAAAATTAGCTCATCCACCATCAGAAAGAGTATTCACTTGAGAGCAAGTAAACCACCTATAGGGAAATGAGGAAAAATCAAAGTTGGGTCATGTAAGACACTCTTATCTAGTCGATAACCTCCCATTGTGGTGAGAAGGGTAAAAATGATAGGAGTAAAACTGCAGAATGAGGAACTGTCCCATAACATGTGAAACTGGTGAGGTAGAGTACAGATATAGGAAAAAAATTCCCTAGAAATCAACTGATGAACTTAACAGACTTTAGCAAAGAGAGTGGACAAAGTGGAAAAGCAGAGCTCTCATAGGACCAGAGCTAAGGGTTGGTTCCAGAAACAAATCATCTCCAACACCCATGGCAGCCAGTCCTCAAAGAAAATGGACTGTGTGTAGTAGCAACAGGACAAGGAACAGAATAAGGGGTGACCCCACAAGGTCATATATGGTGAGAAACCTGGTGGGGCTCCCTAATTCCAAGGGCAAGAAACCAAAGTGAGCAAAGATGGCTCCTGGAGAGCCATAATAGCTCAAGATGCTAAAGTATAAGAAGCACTCAAAAAGAAAAACATCACACAGATAACATGCAAAAGAGAGGTCCTGGAGAGGAGACTGATAGAAGTGAAATTCAGAAAGTAAAGCAATCTGACAAAGACAAGAAACAAACAAAAATAAGGTAACTGGGACAAAATGGAAGAAACCAGAGAACATGATGGGAAAACAGGTATGTGCAAGTTGACCCAGTAAAGCTGATAAGGTCATGATGGAAAACCTCCAAATGAATATGAAGCATATGAATGAACAAAGAATTGAGTAGATGAAAAGAAAAAGAGATCCCTAAACTGAAAACAAAGATTCAGATGAATGGGAATCGTGCAAGTAGGGCACACGAAATTCAACAGAAAATTACTTGAAAAAAGAGAAAACAAAGGACACATACCTAGGGAATACAAGAAGTGAATGACGAAAGTGGGACTATTTGATCCATGTTGGAAAGAAGGAAATATAAGCATAAGCAGACATTAAAACAATAGCTGTGAAACACTCACAAAATGAGGCAAGCTCAACTGACGTAACAGAAGGAGGTCAGGAATCCTGGATCTAAGATCAGAATAGAACCAACAATGTGGTGCACAATGGCTGTAATATCACTGACCATCAGTGTCCACTCATCATTGGATGGCTGCTGTGAAAGTGATAAAAGCCTTGAGAGACATCGGATATATACAAATGCATAATCCAGTTAATCTACAAAACTGATGTTGTGAAGATCTATTTTTGTAAAATCTATAAAGACAGATTTCTTTTTGTTTTGTAAGGTGGTTAAATAGAAGAGGGTACTCATAATTAAAAAAAAACTACTCTAAGACAAAGTAAATGGGCAAGATAAAGAAAAAGGAGCTCAAGGTAATAGACCAAGTGTCAATCCCACAAAATCGAAAGAAGCACAAGAAAAATACAGCAGAACACTAACAGTGCCAAGGAAAAATGAGACAGTGTTCACATGCAAGTGCTCATGGGGATAACTGTGCATGGAGGATGTGTCATCCTTCTACTGGTGAAAGGCTATAGTCTAATGATAATTATGTCATAGGTTGGCCCAATACACATGTACATGTTGGAGCTTTGTTCAAAGCTTGGGGCATGTGTAGGAAATTAGACAGCAGTATGCTCAAGGTAACAGGTATTTGAGGTGTAGAAAGGTGAGTAGCATGTCTGAACTTGTAAAATATTTGAAGCAACTGCATATTCACTAATTTATACACAGTATTTCAGTATTCTAAACAAAAAAAGGAAAATAATTTCAATAACAATAATTGGAAATGTGTTCAAACTATCTACTGCAATAATAGAACACTACTAATTGAATATTTTTTTCTAACCTAGTACAACAATGTGCTGAACCTTAAAACCTTCAAATTCTTATAGGAACAAGAAAGTAGCTTTGGTCAATGTATTCTGCACCATCTATGTGAAGCAAGGCAAGAAAATGGCTAATAATGTATATAAACATCTATATATAGTTGTATACTTTAGTAACAATAAAGTGACTATAATACATTTATTTTCTAAAATTTGTTCAGAGTAACTACATTAAACAACAACAGAAACCAAGATTCATGTTAAGTAGATCTATGAAGTTTAAACAATTAACAAGATTAGGATGTTTTTAAAACTGTTCAACAAACATGATTTTGTTTCTGATTCACTTCATAAGATTTCCTAGACTATCATCCATTGTGCTACTGAGTAAAGGTAATGTTGTATGTGTGGACTTCCATTGGTTGAATTTGTATATCTGTGAGCCGATAAATTTTCTGAATCAATCGAGTTCCTGTAAGAGAAGTTCGATATATAGATTCTACCTGCAAATAATTTAGTTCACTTAATCTTATCTCGGAATGGTCATGTGCACAGAGACCAGGTACAAGGGTCTTCACATGACATGTGCGACCTTGGCGATGTAAAATCAGAAGGCTGCTGTTGGACGGTTGGCCAAAGTTGACAGCAGTTGGCAAAGTACGCAGGTTGACTAAATGAACATCACAAGGAAATGGGTTCTGAACAAAAGTCAAGAATTTCTTCAGAGGCTGTTTTTGGCTGCCCCCAGAAGCCATTATGATAAGAGGAAAATTCAAAGTAGATGATAAGACATGACCCAATTGACTGAGATTCGGTACTTCCCCTTCAGGTTTGGCCTTCTGGCACTCTTCAAGCAGTAACCAAAAATTAGCATTAGTAGGTTTGTTGTCCAGTACTCCCTCTCCTAGCCCACGGTTATCATCATATCCTAGTCGACGGTCAAGAACTATTTCTAACCATCCATTTTGTGAACTTGTACAACCATGGGCACTAGATGTGAGTAAGGACAGACGAACTCTTGAATCTTCTATATAAGTAGCAGTGCTTATAGGGTAAAAGTTAGCTTCCAATGGAATATGATCACGTCTAATACGCTTGGTCATCTGAAAACCATTAGAGTCAGTATAAAAAATATTACCACTAGCAAGATCACTTTCTAATCGCATGAACAACTCTAAATTATACAGTTTCAACTTACTAAGATCAAAATTAGTTTCAATTTCTAGCCCTGCACCTAAAGGTCCTTTCACATGGTAAATTCTAAAAGTTATAGCCACTGTGTTTGGATAGGTAGTAGTCAGTTCAGATACAAGATGGCCTTGGACCAACCGAATAACAGGAAATCTATCGGACATATTCAAGATTGGGTTTATCGGACTTGGTTGAAATAAATATGCTCCACTACGGAACTCCTCAGAATTATAATACAGAAACTTAAGTTTAACAGATCTCACAATGTCCTGAGATGAAAGATATAATGACTTGAGAAGTCCTGTATACTTGGAAAAAGTAGCTGCTAAATATGGAGACTTGAGAGTAATGTTATCTTTCTGGGTTGGCTGGAATTTAAACAAAGAATTCTGCAAAGAAGAGCCAAAAGCATCATTAATAAACACAGACACTGATGGCTCAGTATACTTGTTTTTAGTTTTTTCTTGGGGGAAAATTATGAATGTTGACAGTGACAAAGGAAAAAGATCAGCAAGAAAAATCAACTGAAAAACTTTGTCTGTAATTTCTGCTGAGCTGTTCCAAATGGGATTGACTTGAGACGGAACTTCAATGTTTGAATGATTCACTACACGAACATGAGGGGTCTTAATTAAAATACGAACAACTTCCTGTTTGTAAACAGGAAGAGAGTTAAAAATTACAACTTTTCGTCCTTCAGGACCAGAAATTGGGAGAACTACTTTCTCAGGCAGACTGTCATAACTTAAACGTTTGTCATCAGGGATTAAATTAGGTGTTTTTGACATAAACTGTGCACTTGGATCTTGACTACTTGTTAAATTTTGAAAAAGTAAAATCTTTGCACTGGTACTAATAACATCTTTTGTTCCACGAAAGCCCTTGAACAATTTCTGGCCATAGTCATTCATTACCCTATGTTTTGCTGTACCTGTGATTGCATCATGATGTTGGAATAGTCCTAATGCTTGACGAGCAATACTTAGATGCTTATAACTTTGATCCAACAGTTCAAGAAACTGATTATTCCCCTTCTGCATGACAACAGCTCGAGCTAAACTGTACAAAATTTCTGCACTGCGCAGCCAACTTTCAAGCTCTCTACAAAACTTCTTCCAGAATGGTCGAGTTGTAAAGTATCCAGTCCAGTAGGATGGTCTACCATCAGAGTACACATCACCATAAGGAAAAAAGTCTCCTAACAAACTTGGGGTTTTGTCATTGTTTACTGTTCTCATACGTCGATGAACTTCTTGAAAGTATTCTCCAAGTGTTCCAAATTTTATATCTACATTATAATCTTTATTAGCATTGATGAAATCAAAAAGATTCTTATAATTCTTGTACTGTTGGTCCCATTCCACTTCATGGTTGAAGCGAAAGTCATCTCCCAGCAACACAAGTGCTACATTATGAGGAAAGAGAGAACCAAGACGACCATATTGTCCTATAAGGAGCTCTGCTTTTTCTTGGATGTTTTCTTTAGTTATTTCTTCAGCCCTGGTTTCAGAAACTTCACCAGGAAGTTTTCGAAAGTCAAACATTAAACAAACTCCATGATCTGGCCCACAGGTGTGCTTAATGCTGTACAAGTCAAAGGGTGACATGTGACAGAGAATGTCTCCCCCCAAAGATTGATTTTGAGAAAGTGAATCAAAATTTTGTTTCCACCAGAACTCCAGTTGTTGTTTTTCAGCTAAGTATTGCTTCCAGGCAAAATGGGTCCTCTGAATAAACATATTTTTATACCAGCTGACCTCAACAAGTAAGGAACAGTAGCTGAGTGGCCAAATGGGTCAATAGACCAGCCATTAGATGGCACAATTCCAAAAGTGGTTCGTAACCACTGATGACCCTCAATGAGTTGATCAATCATGGAATGGTAGTGAGCAGTGGCTTCATCTGTCATTATCCAACCTCCTGTCACAATCTCCAATTGGCCACTATTAATAAGATCTTTGACTGCTTGTTGTAACTGAGGTTTGTTGGTTAAGCTAAGAAAGACAGATACAAATGTTTTTATATATATATAAATCTTTTTCTCTCTCTCTCTCTCTCTCTGTGCGTGTGTGTGTTTTTATGTGTGTGTGTGTGTGTGTGTGTGTGTGTATATATATATACTACACACACACACACACACACACACACT